GGCCGACTGGTCACCGTGCCCGACGGCCGAGGAGGACAACAAGAGGACCGTGCACCTCAACGGTGTTCAGCCCCAGGCGGGAGATGCTCGAGCCTGCTCCTCGCGGGTGCAGTGCCAAGCCACCGAATGTAACGACCAGACCCTTCAGCTAAACGTTTCGCCTATGGAGGAGAACCCGCCTTGCCAGACGGCCGTCGCGGTGAGCGAGGAATGCCAACAAATCGTGCCTCACACGGAAGTTGTGGACTTGAAAGCCCAGCTTCAGATGATGGAAAATTTGATCAGCTCTAGTCAGGAAACCATAAAAGTGTTGTTGGGTGTTATACAGGAGCTAGAGAAAGGAGAAGCTCACAGAGAAGGGTGAGTAGAAGCTTTTTACATGAGTATAAGCTGTTTTCAGTGCCTTTCCTAGCAAGTCCTGCCCTTGAATTGGCTGATGTAAGTTTGCACCCGCCGCCGCGTGTTCCTCTGCGGCACACCGGGACGTTACACGCGGTGCTTCTCACGCGGACTAAGTTTTGGTGCTTTAGAGACGAGTCCCAGGGAAGCCTGCCACCGTATTTCCAGATTTGGTATCTGCTTCCGTCTGGGATGAAATTAAGTAGTTATTTAACAAAGGTCCTACAATATCTCTGCTTGTACCTTTTCTAATGAGCACAGAACGAGCCGCTCTCCAAACAGGATTAGCGAGGCTGCTTTCACGACAGCAACCTGTATTAACCGTAATACCGCACGCGGCATGAAAAGCAGCAAAAAACCCCTTAATTCTCTAAGAGATTTACCTTTTTAAGATTAAGGGATATTACTACAACTCAATATAATTCCATTAATGGCATCTGAATCTTGTCTGGTTTACTTTCAACTTCTGAATTCTTAATATTTCTTTCAAAAGGAAATGAAATGAAAACTTTGAATATCAAAGTCTTCTTTACAGCATTCACGCTACTCTACACACGACAAACTCAAGCATAAAGAAACAAAATTTTGTTTATCCCTGACTTAGGTTACTTAAATCAACCTGTAAGGCATTACAAATAATAGTCACTGTAACACAGGGCAACCTTTAGTCTTGACCTAGACAGTTCAACCCCTCTCTTGCATCACGGTAACAAGCATTTAGAAGACTTGTCTTAGTTCACTCATCTTTATTCAATGAATGCACTAAAAAAAAATGTATGTGCACTGTTTGTGTGTTTTTAAGTACTTCTGTAATTAACTCATAATTTGTCAGAAGAAATGTAGATTTTAAAATTAGAAACCAGTAGCTGGTGCTACTTGAAGCAGCACATGTTTTCATTTGAGCCAGAAAGGTACATCTTAAGATTTGTAATTCAACTCTTTCTCTAGGAATGTAAAAGTCATCTTGTTAATCCTAAAAATTCAGTGGTTTTCATTAAAAATCATCTTAGCTGTTGGACAATGCTGTCAACAGAGCCTTAGTGTTTTTAGTTGATTTTACAGCTGGTTATAGTATTTTTAGAATACCTCGTCAAATCCCGGATCTTCAGACTGGGAAGCTTCATGATCTAGCTGAAAGCAACACAGGCTTACCAATTTATTTTTATTATTATTATTATTATTCAGAAAAAGTATTCCTTTGTCTTAACTGTAGAAACTGCAAGAGAATCGGAAAGAAGGGGCATGATGCTTGTCAAATCACAAAATACAGAAAAAACACTTCATCATAACTCCTCATCTGATCGAGAACCCTGTGGGCACGAACACACGCATCTACCCACAAAGTCACCCGCTATAAATACCAGTGCTTCCTCCACTTGCATATCAATTTTTTATCTTTTCCCAAAGACAGTACAGCAACAGGTGCAGCAAATACTTTTTTTTTTATTGCCCTCCCATAAGCAGACCCGTTTAATGTAGCTGACATGAGGAGTGTATCCCTGCCCTCAGCACAAAACAGGTCTTGCCCAAACTATTGATGATTGCTCGCCTCTTCAGGTAATCCTGTCGTCGTCAGCCTGACAAAGCTGTAGCCTATATTAGCCCTGAAATAGCGGATTTATATCTCTAAACCCCAGTTCTTCAGAATATCTCTCCAGCCTCTCATACACACAGACTCCTGTATTAGAGTCTGCAAGACTACGTTGTATTTGACCAAAAGTAGCCTATTTATTAGCACTCCTTTAGTCTCCCCCCCCCAGGTTCCCCAGCAATGGCCAAATTGCCTCCTAAAGATACATCACACCTTTTGAAGTCTTTTCAGATGTATTGTGGTATGTGGAAGAGACAATTAAAACGTTTTAATGATTCTCTGACATTAAGTGTAACCAGTGGCAGTTACACCAGTGGTTGAGGTTAATTGTAACAACTGGAAGCAAAGCACCTACAAATCAAAGTGAGATTTCAGATAGGGGGCTTGGTTTAAACACGACATACAAAGGTGCTGCCTTAAAACTCAGGAGAGCAGAGAAGGGTTTCTATGTGGAGCCGCTTTCAGCTCCTCTCTCCTAGATGCTCCTGACGCGTCCCAAACATGCCCCCTCCCAGCTCGACATGAAGGATGTAGAGATGGGGAAGGAAGAGCGAAGGGAGAGGCAGACTTGCCTATTTTCTCCTGGTTTAGGAATTCTTGTATTCCCCATCTCTCTCATTTTCTAGCACCTGGGCAATTTTAAAGGAGAGGGCACAAAGGAGTCCAGCATTATGCTTGGGACATTGCTGTTCTCCACTGATCATACTCCAGAGCGGAAAGAACAGTCTGTTCTCGTGCAGAGCACCAACACATTATTAATGTGAAGCCTGTCTTTATCCCCATTTCCCTCAGACAACTATTTCCATAATAGGCTGCCCCATCCTTTTGTCAGCAGAATTCTTGCCAATTACTGCATTTGTTTCTACATTTTTGCCACACAGACCCGCCGCTGTGTACGCTAACTATTATGCATCTTCTCAATTTTAGCATCGTGATCTTTTTTTTCCCCTTTTATAACCACGTGTTAGGTCAGTTTATAACAAAAAATTAAAAGCAGTATTACTGCTTATTGTAGCATATGCAAGTCTTCCCTCTGCTAAAACAGAAAACAACGTGCTGTGTTTATGGCACTCTCCTGGTTTTCTTATGTATATTAAATCCCTTACAATAACATACATCAAGAAACAAACAAAGTAACACACTGCTGGTAAAAATAATTAAAACAAAAACACCAAAAAAAAACCCCCACAAACAACAAGCCCACAGCTAAACCTCTTAATCAGATTTTTCTCCCCTCAAGAAAATCAGTGTTCTTTAAGTGCTGTTGTAGTGCCATGGGACTAGTGCTCAGTGGATTCATTTTCACTAATATGCTGTAGGTCTTGAACTGCTATTACTGCAATTCATCACTAAATGAGTCTATGCCAGCAAAATTGCATCAGCATCTCTGAAGACAGCAGTACCATCCTTTGGGTGAATATCATCTACGTATACTTCTCAAAATGTCAGTACTACATTATCTGCAATTAGCAACAACACACAGCACTCAACTCTGCTGGAGAGAAAGGGGAAAAGCACCGGAGGAGGAAGAGAAATGCAGAGCAGCTCTAAGGCCCAAGGGAACCCAGGGCTCGCCTCACCCTGCCAAACCAGAGCCTTTGAGGGTGCAGGGTGACCTCTCTCTTCCTCTGACCTGGGATCAGGCCCCATTTACTGGCCACAGAATGGAAAATTCAGGCTGTCAGGAAACACAGCTCTTACCAGGCATGGCATAATTTTAATCCATTAAGTGTCTCTAAATAACACAGAGATTTGGGGATGGGGGTAGAAATCATTATCGCTACCCTGTGACCCCCCCAATATCTAAGGAAATTATTAAAGCTGCATATCATGTGCATCATTATTTGCCAAATCTTTGGCAAAATGGCAGTTATACCTTACTACATGGAAGCTTCTACACAGAAACAAAATTACATCACAGCAAAAGGCATTCAGCAACGTTTGGGTGAAGTCAGGCATGAATAGAAGTAACAGAGCTACAGCTTCAATTAAGACTCCCAGCTCCATGCTGAAAAAAATGCTGAATATTACACGATGGCAAGATGCAGCTTTACAACATAAAACAAGTTTTATGCTCTGAATGATGTTTGCTTCATCTTCTAGTAAACTATTAGCAATCTCTATCAACTCTAGATGTACTGGTCTGTATTTGGAGGCAGCGCATTAAGCAAGCCAAATTCCACGCTGTGTGGAACCTCGCTAAGGCTGACAGGATTGCAAGCAAAATGCAAGTCACCAATTCCAAAACCTGGCTAACTAACATCTATGAAATATACAACAGAAGACAAAAAGATAATCAAAAATATTCTGCTGCTGGAGAACACTGACCACCTGCCCTTTAAATCCTTACCATGCACAGCAGCAGTAATCTGGGCCCTTCTCATTACACAACAAATCAGCAACTGTAATAAACAAAGTACTCAATTTGCCATACAAAAATAAGTCACAGTATTTTGACTCTGACAGGCCAAATGCTACACATCAGACAAGAGTTAAATGAACCTGTTTCAGAGATAA